TCATTGTCATGTCCGCCTTTCCTTTGCCACTGTCATAGGATGGATCCTTTCTTTCCATTGCCTTTTCCCCAATATGCCCGGTCGTAGGGATCCTGATTTTCGTTGGCCATACTTTTTCGAAAGGGTTTGAAGCCACCTCGTTGGTGACTGCCCTTGTTGCTTCCTGATTTTACTTTTCCTTTTCTCTTTTTGAATCTGAAATTTTGCCCAGACACTTTCCTTGCAATGAACGCATCATTCTCCTCCAAAACCCAAACTGTCTCTTCATCATTGGTTGCCATGAATCCTTCCAGTCCTTGTTCATCTTCCACCCAGAAACCTTCTTCACCTTCATACTCCCCTTGTTCTAGGATGTAGAAGGTATTCCGATTTCCTCCAGGAGGTCGGATGGATGGATCTTGGATGGGTGTTCGGGTCGTAATGAAGAGATCATGATACTGAATCTTCATCATCTCATAGGTGTAATTCTCGAGCGATGTTTCTCAAAGACATTGCACTGATCAGTCTTTCTCTTTGCTGATCTGACAACCCGCTTGAATGATGAAAAATTGCGCAATGAGATTGTCACTGAGGGGAAATGCGTCCTTATGTCTTGTCTGCATGCCGTTGAGGTACTGCCTGAGTACTTCTGGATTGTCTGTGGGCAGCAGGGCTGCTTGCTGATGCGCGGCCATTCTTATTGCATTAGCATCTTGTACTGATGCTATGAACTCTGGTGACTGCGCCGTGTGAACAGGAGAATTTCAAATTTTGATGTGAGTATGAGGAACTGGGTGGTCTGCCTTCTGTGGTTGAAGAAACTGAGAAGTCTGTAGAAGCACACGTTCGTCGAGCCCTTCAGGAAGAACTTCTTCAGTGTGCTCTTGAAATAGTTGACTCCTTCTTCAGGATTTTGCGAGCGGTCATTTTGGAGGACTGCCTTGTGCATGTGAGCATCTCCGATGAGTCTGCTCTTGAGGAGCGGCCTCTCTTGGATGCCTGAACGGTGGTGAAAGTCACCCAATCATCTACTCATATCTGGTCCGCTAGCACCTTTGCATCACGGATGCAATGGCTCAGTGAGCTATGTACACCTGGTGTGTGACATGGAAGGCTGGGCCAAAATGGTGTTGCATGGAGATCAATGGGTCCGAAAAACAAACACGGGGGGGGGGGGGGGGTTGGGAAGATTGCACCAAATGTTTCGCGCACGTGCGTGGCGTATTAGAAACGAAATCCTTTTTTAAATGAAAGAGAGCAATTTAGTGAATGAAGCACAAACGCATCCTCTGTCTTGTTTCGATGCACGAAGTGTACATGTGTTTGTTCTTTCCATTGCTTCTGATAGTTTACGTTTCCTAATTTACGAGATACACCAGTGGTATAACATCACGCTTTATAACAAAATCAATCTAGTAGAAAAGAATAACTGTTTTAGGAAAAAAGAACATGGACAGGCATGGAACGAAATTAAAAGGAAACAGTCACGAAATAGAAGCGCCATGGAACAAAAAGTATTTGGAACACATGAAAGATAATGGACGCACAATTGCAAGAAGTAGCATGAAAAAGAATTGGAGAGAAATGGGAAGGACGTGAAAAAGAAAGGGGTGAACATTGACAGGAACGAAAAGGACATGTAAGGAACGGAAAGGGCATGGAGATACAATTCAGAGACATGGAAGGGACTCGCGATACAATTCTATTATATTCCTTTGTTTGTGTCCTTTCCATTCCTTTCCATTTCATTGCCATTGCCTTTAATTTCCTTTCGAGTTGCATTTCTTTCTATGTTATTTCCCTTTCTTCCCACTTGTTTTCATTCCTTTCCATTTCTAGCTAGACAAGCGCTGGTTTCGCAATTGTCCATGTCAATAATTTTGAAGCGGCGAGGTTCCTTTCCATTTCTTTAAAAGTCATGTTCATGTCCTTTCCGTTCCATATTTGTTTCATTCCTTCCCATATAATTTTAATTAAATATCTATTCTACTCCTTTGTTTATATTTCCTTCCCAATTCCTCTCATGTCCATTTCTGTTGACTTTCTCTCCCTGTCTTGTCCGTTCCTGCCCATTCTTTTCTATCCCTTCCTTTCCGCTTTCCATTCCGAAGGCTAGCCCGGGCCAAACACGCACTCGTTTCGCAATTTCCCCTGTCAAGAATTTGGACGCGGCGAGTTTCATGTCCATTTCCTCAATATTTATTACTATATCCTTCCGTCCTCCTTTCATTCCTTTCCAAGTGTGCTCCATGTCCATTCCATTTCGTTCTTTTCATTTCGAGTATTCCGGCCTAGTTCTTTTCCTATCCATTTCCTTTTCCAATTTTGTTTCCATTTCTTTCTATGTTCTTTCCTTTGTTGTGTTTCCAATTCTTCCATTCCTTCTCGCTCCTCCCTAATGAAGTGATCAAGGCCAACCAAGCCGGAAAAGTGTTTTTTGCAATCTCCCTGTACAGAGTTTGAATGGAAAGAATGTCCATTCGATATCCGTTCAAATTTACTTCCATCTTAATTCCATTTAATTCCTTTCGTACTCTGTCCGTTTCTTTTCGTTCCCTTGCCTTTCCTTCCATGTCCTTTTGGCGTCCTTTCTATTCCTAACCTGGTTGATCCTGCCAGTAGCCGTATGCTTCTTTCAGAATTCATTAGAATACTGGAAAAACAATAACTGGACAGTCAGTCATTTTCCAATTCACTAGGAAACTAGCTGGCACATCAGTCATTGTTTCTGATGGTTCTATCAGTTGGAAACAATGGCTAGAAACCTCATCATGCTTGTCTATGTTCTTCTCGTCATTGGCTTGGCAAGCCGGGGCTCACTGCCGATAAAGTTTTGTATAAAATCCATTGCGGACCCTGCCCCGGCTGGGTTCCGGGCACGTTGAAGCTCAAATAAAAAGGAACAGGAAAGGAACTGGAAAGGAAATAGAAAAGGAAAGCAAGTGGAAAGGAAATGGAAAGGAACTTAAAAGGACGTTGAAAGGATATGGAGGAAATGGAGAGGAAATGGAAAGGACAAGGAAATGCAAAGACAACGTCTGGGCTCACTGCTGATAAAATTCTATGAAATCAATTACGGAGCCTGCCCCTTTCCATCTCCTTCCCATTTACTTTCTGTCCTTTCCATTTAGTATTCCTTTCCATTTCCTTCCGGTTCCTTTCCATGTCCTTTGCACGCCCTCTTCCTTTCCATGTGCATTTCCATTTCCTCTACATGTCCTTTCCATCCATGTCCTTTCCATGTCCTTTCGTTCCTTTTCCTTTCAATGTCCTTTCCAGTTCCTTTTCATTTGGGCTTCAAATTATCCGGGTCCAGCCGGGATGCAAAAAAAACTAGAAAATCAATCAATTTTCCCATGTCTAATTCCTTTAATTAATGAACAATTGTAGCTGAAAAATCAATGATTTTTCATGAATTTATAATTGATAAGAAAAACTGATTCTTCTAAGTTTTCTAATTATTTGGAGGCGAAGTTTGCGGAATGTTGGGACCTATTTTCTGGAATGTTGGGACCTATTTTCTAATTTATAGTTTCTTAATTTTACTTAACTAATAAAAACAAGCCGGAAATCAGCAAGTCTTTGTGTTTTTGAACTGATTAAAAAGTTAGCTGGGAAATCAAGCAATTTTCCAAATTTCTCTAATTTTCGTAACTAATTAAAAAGACCCTTCTAATTGTTTGGAAGCTAGGTTTCCGGAATGTTGGGACCTATTTTTCTATTTTCCTATTTTCAATTCAATTAACAAAGCTGGAACATCAATAATTTTCCTAATTTTCTTGTTTTCTTCTAATTAAATAATTGGAAACATTACGATAATTAAAAATAAGAATCAAAAATAGGTCCCACCATTCCGGAAACCTAGCCCCCAACTAAAAACAATTAAAAATAAAACCGATTGATTTTCCACCCAATGTTTTATAATCAATTTCAAAAAGCTAGGAAAATTAAAAACATGTTCCAACATTCCGGAAACCTAACCTGAAAATAATTAGAAAAATAGAAAGTTGAAAAGCAACAGCTGGTTTCCCAGCTAGTGTTTCTAATCAAATAAAAAATGGACCAAAAGTAGAACAATACTGATTGGTCAGCCAATGCATCGAACAATTGAACAAATTGAATGATTTTCCAGCTAGTTTTCTAATTACTTAGGAAAACGAAAACTTGACTGATTTTCAAGTAATTTTTCAAAAGCTAGAACAATTGACAAATTAGAAAAATGAGTGATTTCCAGCTAGCTTTTCTAATTACTTATTTCCTAGACAAATCACTGATCCCCCAGCTAGGTTTATAATTAATGAAAAATAAGGAAATATAAAAACAGGATTGATTGTTCAGATTTTTTTATTCGGGTGGAAAACACGGAGAACAACATGATGGACATGATGATGCAAACGATGATGATGAAAACGATGATCATGATGATGAAAGTGATGATGAAATGATGATGATCTGATGACGAACATGACGATGCTGATGATGATGATGATGATGACGGTGATGATGACAGTGAAGATGACAGTGACGAGGAGGATGACGAGGATGATAGGGGGCGCCAGCCTGGACAGACTCCCGTAAGCTTTCCGTTGCCCTTTTAATACAGCTATTGTTTCTATTTAAATTACAAAAACTAGCTGGGCAAACAGTCATTGTTTCAATGTTTCTAATTTTCCGAATATACTAGAAACAACGGGAAATAGACAAACATAGGTTCCAACATTCCGGACAACGCGCCTGGGAAGACCTAATGAATTAGGTTATTTAGAGCAATTCGCCGTAGAAAGAAAACGGAAACAAGCCAGGAGGAACAGGAATGAAACCCCAACAAGCTTTTTTCGCGCGCGATACGTTGCGACACATCTGGTATAATCTTCCCTCATACGGGGGGGAGGGGGGCAGCTCCATTTTGAATCCAAACAAGCAGCCCACGGCTCAACAAAAATCACTTGAAATGGTCTTCAAATGTGTGACTTGAAGCCTCCAATGCCAGCCCCGGCCCTCGGCGCTCCTCTCGATCGCGCCTGCTGCGCTACCAGCCCCACGTGCAACAAATCTACGCGGATCTGCTCGTCGTCACCCTCGCCCTCGCCTATCGTTCGGTGCAATGTTTTTTGCTCCCCGAAGGGAAAGCAGAATGGAAAACAGGAGAACGACTAGTAAAGGGGTTCTAAGACTTCGTAGCCTGTGCGCTGGGTCTTCCTAGACACGCGCCTCGAGATACCAGCGAGACACCTCGACGGAGACATCGCCCAAGAAACTGCAAAGGTCTTCAAAGCTCCAAAGACATCCCCCTGAACGCATCCCCCTATACACCTTCCAAACGCATCCCCAAAGTCACCCCCGTAAACATCACCCTCAAGCAACCGCACAAACATTAAAGACACCGCCGAAGACATCAGCACGGACATCCCCCGCCAAACCTTGCATGAAACCCTCAGAAACATCAGCCAAGACGACCACAGAGACACCCCTAAAGAAACTCCCAAAGACATCTCAAAAAAACTAGCGCAAAGACACCCCAAAAACACCCCTCGCAAATATCACACTCCTTGACAGACCTTCTAAGCCCCAGAAGATGTCCCCCCGCCCCAAGGGCAACGGTGTAAATTCTGAATTCAGTCGTACGCCAAAAAACACTGAAGCATTGAACCAAACCAACTCCTACCGCTTGGCGAAACTCGGTTCAAATTGGCGCCTGCGGAGGTGTATGTCAGCATTGCTCTTTGATGGTGAACCCGGTTTCCAACCTTGAGTTGACAAAATCACTCCTCTTACGTGGAATGAGTTGCACCGCCTAAACAAAACACCGTTTTTCCACCTTGTTCCAACTAGCGTGAAGAAAATGGTCATTGTAAGGCATCTTTCTAAAAAAAAGGCCTGGTGGGAATCAACACTGCTACGCTTAACCCCCTAGTTATTCAATCAACGCGCTGGTTCAAAAGAGAGGGCCACAGGGAACTCCCAGAACTGTTTGTTCCGCGAAACTCGCAATTTTCCTAACTCGAAATGCCCAAGCTAGCCGGTGCATCATGGGTCTCCCATAATGAGCATCTTATTGATCCAACTCTCAACACATGATGCCCCAGCTCTCGTGATTCAACACCGCAGGGTGGGACTCTCTCCTGTAATGTGTTTCTTTACACGCGTCATGACTCAGTTTCTAACTTTATGACCCCCAAAGTCCCAAAGATAGGCAAACACTGAAATTGGTAAACAAGAGAAAACAGACACGGAAACAAAAAACAAACACGCAGCTTCACCAGTCATCCACATGTGCAAGGACCCGAGGGAAAAACCCAACACAAGAACAAAGCATGAAAAAACAAAGGGCCACAGTGCAGCCAGGGCCACTTCAGGGGCAAACCAGGCATCCCAAACATGTGCAACAACACTCGGAAAAACAACAAAGAACAAACTGCAGCCAAGGACACCTCAGGTGCCAAACCAGGCATCCAAAATTGCACTTGTTTTTGTTGCGCATTGTTTTTTTGTGTTGTTTGTTTCGCTTCTTGTTCCTTCGCGTCTCTTGTTTGTTGCTTGTTCTGGTGTGTTTTGTGTTTGGGGGAGGAACCCTGCAAGTGCAACTAGTTGGAGTAATCAGCAACTCTGAGCCAGCGCGCTTTGTAAATCTGACAAATCACAGTGCTACACTGTTACGCTATGTTCTTTGGCTATGGTATGGCTACATGGCTGAACTCTTAGACCTGAGAGTGCGCAGCATTGACTGAATCTGGCACTTCCTGCAAAGATCTCGAGAACGTGGATCTTCCCTTTATGTGCACAATTCCAGTGCGTCCAGGATGACAAAAAACAATGATGTTCTCCGGTTCCGAGAGGAACCTGGCAACGATCAATGAACTTCATGTCTCCAAATGTGTCCGCTCGAAGTCCACTCGGTTTGGTTCTTGATGGCGCTTGCTTTGGTGTGAATGATGAATTATCTCATTGCATTGTGTACTGTTGTGGTAATGTACTGTTATACTTGCTGTTCTGTTGCTGTTTGTAGCACCGATCTTTGCAGGACTTGGTCAAGCAACAGTATCACCAGTTTTCTAGATTCCTGCCCTATTGACTTGCTGTATTTTTAGATGATGTTGTGTTACCATACGATTTTGTCATTGCGTCATCGCAGTACATTTTTATTTCAGTGCGCCGTCATTATGTTATATTCTCTCATCTTAACTCATTATGTGTTCAATGAGTGACGCCGAATTATGATGTTGCTATACCCGGATATCATTCTACAATTGTAACCTTCTAGCAATGGATCCATGTACCAGTGTGTGTGTGTGTGTCTTCGTTCTGTCATTGCCATATGATTGTGAATCACGGTTGGTTATTTTATCTGGCGGTGTAAAACTGTTGCGCTATTATGTTATTGTATTGGTGTCATTGTTGTATTGCTCTTCACTGTTATACTGTTGCAATTGTTGCCTGCCATCATGCTACTGAATCAATATGTTTATATCATTCCAGTCTTATATTCCGACGCATTGTTCTTGTGCATTACTACAAGCACTGACAATTTGCTATTTCTATCATTTTAGTATGGATTAAAAGGTCATGTCATTGCAAAAAATATTTGCACGCTGTCAATATCATCACTACTGTATACTTATTGCGGTTGCCTGGGCCCGCGGCCTCAAGAACGGCGCCCAAAAGGAACTTGGCAACCGAAGGAATATTTGTTGATATCTTGATATGCTATTTGTGATACTACCATAATCCGATATTATTATAGTATGTTTTTTTCCGATGTGTTGTCCTGTCTTTACAACAATACAAATTATAGTGCGTTATTGCGCTGATAGGTCACTATGTTACGTTATTATCCTGTTATGATATTTTGTTGTTTGGTTTTACCTCCTTATGTTTCTTAAGTATTCTGCTTGCGCGCCGTAATTTAGCTGGGTTCTAGTCTTCGTAAACGGTTTGTTATAATCCAATTATAGACGTTCGTACGAGTAGTAATTTGATTGGCGGATGTACGAGTGAACGTACGAGTGGACGAGTACTGTGTAGCCGTACGGGTGTGCGCAAGAGTAGACGAGCGGGCGTACGAGCGGACGTGCGTACGAGTGGGCGCGTAGGCGCGCGAGTGGACGTACGAGTGGCCTAGGCGTAAGGGTAGACGTGCGGGTGGACGTACAGTGGACGAGTAGGCGTACGAGTGGATGTAGCAGAAGTGCGCGTTGGCGATGGGGCCTTACCAGTACAGTAAAGGTGCTGTATAACTCCTGTAAAAGCGCCGACCCATAAAGTTAGTCAACAAGTTGGCAAGCTCTAAGTTGTAAGTTGCAACAAGTTGGACATGTTCCGTGAAGTGACATCAGCAACAAAATGCGCACGGGTGAACGCAGGAGGGCACGTGGGGGAGACATTGTCTAGTGGAGCAAAAGCTGCTGGCATTGGCAGTCATATGAGTCTTGTAACTGTCTCATGTGAGCAAATCCCACAGGAAAAGCGGCGGATGTCAGCGCATATGCAGGTCTGGTCCGGTAGCTGACCCCGCCCCCCCACCAACAACAACCAACACACGTCGTGTTTTCGCGGGTTGCGCCCTACAAAAACACCGAGCACGTGAAGCAAAACATCAAACAGATCCCACAGCGCATTCACGCATTCTGCCAAACCTGCCTTCCAAACTCTACGCGGTGGTAAATAAGCCTGGAATTGGTCTTATTTCTGTGCAAATGGACTTGTCCGGCGCCACGCGTGCAGGAACAAGGCCGGTTTTTCGAAAGTAGGTGCGTGTGGACTTGCGCAAGTCCACCAGGCTTTTGCAAAAAGGCAGATTTTTCCAAAACTCGGCCTTCTTTCTGTGCGTGTGGAATCCCAAACCTGTGCGCACCAACTCGCCGACTCGTACACCCACCCGTGCCATGACAAATTATAAAAGACTATGCCAAAAGCTAGGATGATAAGCTTTGATACATCATAATAGCTGATGATGAGACATGATGATGAATACTGGCATGGACCATGCCAAATTATGGTGAAGTTTGATCAACTATGACAAGCTATGATGAGGAACTACGATGAACTACGGCAAACTATGACCACTAAGATGAGTAATGAGAAACTGCGATGACGAACTATGATAAGTTCGGATAAGTTGCGATAAGTTGTGATAAGTTGTGATAAATTGATAAGTTATGTTAAGCCATGATGATGAACTATGGTGAACTATGAAAAGCTATGGTAAGCTATCATGACGATGAACCATGATGAGCTATGCAAATACTATGATACGAACTATGATGAACTATGATAAAATGCGATACTTGAAGACTACGCGAAGCCATCGTAATGACTTATAATTAAAAACTACCATTTCTGATAAGCTATGATGATGAACTTTGATGAACTATGATACCCTGCGCTAAATCGTGATACATTATGAAAAATCATGGTAACATACGATGATGAACTATGATGATCTACGCTAGGCTGCGATACGCGTTCTGACATCCCACGATGACAACGTATGATGAGTTATGATAAACTCTGATAAGCTATGCTGATGAACTACGGTGTGATGATGAACTCTTATGAGCTGTGGAAAAGTAAAATATGCTAAGTTGGAACAAATTATGATGATTGGTTTTGTATGATAAAGTATGACAAGGCGTGACTACGAACTGACACAAAGTATGCTGAACAATGACCACACAGAAGAACGATGATACAGTACGCACACTCGTACATCTGGTCGCCCGCCCGGTTTCCACACTCGCGCGTCCGCCCGTCTACTCGTACGTCCACTCGTGCGCTTACCCGCTTCACTCGTACGTCCACTCGTACGCCTACTCGTCCACTGTACGTCCCCTACTCGCACGCTCGCACGTAGAGCTTCAACAACATTCAATGTGCGATGTCTAGAACCCAGCTAAACCGTCATCATACTGTGATATTATGTGACGAGATTGTTACATTGTTAGTTTGCCAAAGGGTTTTACCATTGCGTTGTGATATTATTGTGAGCATAGTGTCATTCAACCGTGTTATCATCACGCTGCCTTGTTCACAGGCATTGCGTTTTCAGGAGCGGCGCCTTGTTCGTAATCAAGCCAGAAACTCGACTCATGT